TTGCGTACAGCCCCTAGGAAATAGCTGAAGATTGATACCAGTCTTTTGTCACTGCATAGTTATTTTGAAAGGTTCAAATCACAAATTCAACAACTTTCAGAAAGTTTCTTGACATACTATAGCATTCAAAACATGTTGCATGTCAATAGAAAGACAACTTTATCATTTGATGATTATCTTGTCAGTGATTCCTGTGTTTGGAGTCTAATAAGGCTTCTTTCTATTTCCTCCCTTGCAGTGGTGATTTATTCTAGATTTAAGTACAGAGGTTAAAACAATGTTTTTCATCTACAGCAAAAAATAGAATCAGGTTTAAATCCTCTTGACTATATAATTGTGTCCTTATCCTTTTGTAAAACTAATGAGAGTTGAGTTTGATAGCTTTTGTTGGAGATTGTATTGGGACAGTAGAATCCTAAGTTGTCATTCTTTCACAATGGAAAAGTCATGAAAATCTGTGGCAGAATTTTATTTGTTCTGCTTAGAGAACAGAAATAACTATAAGAATTGGTGGAGGTATTTTCCTTCTCCTTTCATTAAAGATTGTTTTAGCTGTGTGTTCTTTGGTGGTTTTTTTTTTTTTTTTTTTTTTTTTTTTTTTTTTTTTTTTTTTTTNCATTGTGTCCGTTACAATTGATGCAAAGAGAGTAAGTTCTGCAAAACTAGTATTTAACATCCCTCAGCAGGGCAAAGCAGTTGGGTCTTATTTCCTCTTGTTTTAGTCTCTCTCATAATAGCAGCTGTGTTCATGTAACTGGCATTTGCTAAAGGGCAAGTGGGAAACCAAAAATGGTGGTGGTTCTTGCCAAACTTCCAGTCCTTTGGAGAAATACAGCTCCTTGTTTGGGGTGTGCTTGGAGGGCCATTTTACAGACAGTTTCTTGAGCCCATTAGAGAGAAAAACCACTCTCCGGGTGTGGAGTCTGAGGCCTCCCTTTTGTTCTCACTCGCTTTTGTGAGGAGCTGAGTTGAGAAATACATGCAGAAGTCAAAATGCAAAACGGAGGCAGCCTTCAGGTGTTGTCCAGCATGCGCAGATGCTTGTCACTGAAACAGGCAGGGCAGTCTGTATGGGCACGTGAAGGCTGACTGCTTCCCCCTTGGAGCCCTACAGTAACCAATGTCATCTCCACCCATCATCTATGCGGGTTTGTTTTTATTTTTTAATTAAGCGTAACTTAAAACTGTGAATGAGGAAGTTTCCTTTAAAAGGATTTTTAAATTCCCCTGTTTCTTTGGTTCTGAGATCCAGAATAGATGGGGTTAAATTTGACAAAAATGCCTGGTCTTTAATTTCTATGCAATTGAATTCTATGTAATTCAGCTTACCTGAGATCACTTTAACAGAGGTAGTGGTGTGGGGTTTGTTTAGATGTGCATGTATTAAAGAGTGAAGTTAGCAATATATTCAATTATGTGTTCCTTATTCTTACAGCATACTTTGCTTTTAATTGCAATACTTTATGCAATAAATAGTTCCATAGGTCCTTCAGGGAATTGAATATCGTGGTTTGTAAAAATGGAAAAAATGAGTAGTGCTTTTAAGAAAAAGTGTTTGGTAAAGAACTCATTGTTTGTATGGTATCAAGCATGAATTCTGTTTTGCTTCATTTATGAATCTATTAAAATTATTATAGAAAATTGTTGGTGAGAATTATGTCAATTTTTGTGGCATTTTAAAAGCTTTTCTTAGGTAAGATGCAAAGGCAGAAAAAATTATATTGCTATTTAGAGTATGCAAAACTACAGTTTAGACTGTGTGTAGCATCGATACTGGGATTCTTTCTTCTTTTTAAACTCTAGAACAACACTGTATTTGTCCTTTCTCATGCATTTATCCAGGCTGTTCTTTAACAAGATATCATGTGCTTTTAGGAAGGTACCTCCCAGCTTATTTGTTTAGAATTAAATGAAAGTCAACTTGGGAAGGTAGCTGGTTGGACTCGCACCCACCTTGTAAAATTTCACTAGCTGTCACTTTTTTTCACATGTTTTGACTTTTACAAATTGAATATATGTTAGGGTTTTTTTACACTTAATGTGTATTTTATTTTAAATGTTTGGAGAACTGCCTTGCTCTTGAAGTACTGTTATTTCAAAGCGATCTCATTTCTTCTCTCAGCAGAAGGAGGAAAGTTGGAAGATGGCTTTGACGCATATACGTGCCCATGTAAGCACACACATACACACAGGGTCGGGATTTACTTCAAAGGGAGCTGCTAGCTTTGCAAGTGGCTAGAAAAGTCAGTCTAAACTTCATTTGTATTTAGTGAATATTTCATCGTGTTGCTGTTGATAGCAAAAGCCGAGCTATCATTCACAATTCCTGTGTGAAGGCATGAAGGTGATGGAGTTGTCTTTCATTTTTTTATTTATTTTATTCCACTTACTGCACTCCTTTATCTTATCTCTATTTATAAGTGTTTGCTTCAAGGGCTTTGTAAAATTAGTCTGAACGCTGGTTGATATTCTCTTTATTGTCTCTGTTAAGCTTTTATTTTTTCTGAATTTGTTGCCTTCTCAGGAAATTAGATGAATCTATTTAATGGTAAAGACTGAAAGTTTTATTGTTTTCAGTTTTTTTTGGATCAAGACATGAATGTAGATTCTGAAATTCTTAGTTCCTTTTTTTTTTTGGCTAGAATTGTCTGACAGATCCTTAGACCAAAACTAAAAAGTGCAGTTCTGAGCTAAAACTCGACATGTTCTTTGACTGCGCCCGTGAACTCCTGGGTCTCTGTGACAACACTTGCATGGTAGCTTCTTCATCAGCATCTTGTTTGTTATCAGACAACAGCAATGGCCAACACTGGGGTGGTAATGGTTTAGTTTACGGTTAAACTAGAGAATACTTCTATCAATTCATTTATTTGTACTAAATGAAAAAAAATCTAAGACTTTTTTTAATATCCCTTGTACCTTAAGTAATATACAAAGTTTTAGATGTAGTTAGTATGCAAATTGTGTATTTGTATCTTGCACACGTGTACAAAGCTCATGCAAGCAGAAAGCAGTGTGAGCAGTGAGAGCGCCGGGCGGTGCGGAGCCGAGGCAGTGCCCTCCGTGTGGCCGCTGGCAACAGCGTGGGGAGAATCTGCAGCCCAGGCAGGTTGGGACCAAGCTTTTGCAGGAATGTAATGCTGTCTCTTATGAGGTACAAGGATCATGTGACAAGTTCCCTGATCATACTAGAGGTATCTTTAAATATGTGACTTCTCTCCTCTCAAATGACTTCAAGATTTGGGATTGTCTCTCGGATAGTTCCCTTCGGGGGGGGGCGGGGGGAAAAAATGCTCATGAAAGCACAATGTGAGTGCAAAGGTAAATAGCATATTCTAAATATAGGTGTGGGGTTTTTTTTTCTTAATTATTTATCTTTACAGGATGCTTGTTTCTTCAAGTTGTAAACCTGCTAAAGGATATGGCACCATCTGGTAGCAGGCGGCTTTAGCAAACAATATTGCTGTGACCATTTGTGACCATTGTAATAGTGTGAAAGGCTTGTGCCTTTATAAGGGCTATGCTGTGTTAAATGTAACAGAAACGGCAGTTGTAGCTCAAAGTGCTTCAAGTGGTGCTTGAGTATGGATAAGAATTCTATAATTTTTAAGAGCTTGTGGTCATATTCATGTGGTTGAACGCTGAGGTACTTAGCTACATAGCTTGTTCCTGTTGCTATGGTGAATTCCATCTTAGAAAATTACCGAATCTTTAAAGTGAAATCAAGAATTATTTAGTTCAGAGGTGTTAGGAACTTGGTAATCTTTGCTTTTTAAAAGATGAAAAGAACTAGTTCTCACACTGGTTACTACTGCTGCCACTGTCACCTGTTAGAAATTGGTGCAAGCTTCTTTTACTCTGGTTTCTTTTCAGCTGTAACTATGATGATTATTTTTGGCACTCCTGAAACGGAATTTAAGAAAAAAAAAATCTATACCTAAACCTGAAGAATTTGCACATAGGTCATTATGAAACATAATTATTTGGGCAGTGTCTTGAAGTAATCTAAATCTAAATCAAATTTTGCCATGTATTTTTTTTCACAATGAGTTGCATTTTGTGAGCATAGGTAAGGAATATACTGCTTCTCTTAGAATACCTTCCCTGTTGTTTTCTAGTCTTGCTGAGTTCAATACAAAACTTAGTTTTGAAATACCTGGTTCATAGGGCCATGAACAAGTGTGCGTGGCTGGCAGTGGCAAAGAGGCTGGCACTTGTGGTGCTCTTGCCATCCCGTGGGGTATGTCTGTGTCCTCTGAATGCGAGTCCTTCATAAGCTTTGTAGCTTTTGTAGAGATCGGAGAGCTAGACTCAATATTACATATAGTTTAATTTTTAATGGATAGAAGGGATGCCTTTGTGTGGAAGCTATATAATTAGTCTCTAAAATATATCAGACTTTTATAACTGGGGTGAAATTATTGATCGGTGTTTGGATCTGTCAGATTTATGCTTTTAGGAAGAAAGTATTTCACAAGCGAAGGTTTTTAGGTATGGCTCCACATCATTTGAGTTATATGGATGTTTACAAAATTATATTGAGTTGGCAGCTTCGGTAGTTAAAGACTCTGAATTTCCACTGTTCGAATGCATTCTTCAGGCAATAACAGCTCAGGAAACTGACTTATGAAAGAGGTTTTATTTGGAAGAGATTTATTTTACGCTTCTCACCTGTGCAAGATGCCCTAATGCAACTTATTGCATTCGATGGTACTTTCTAGGAGGCGTTCCTCTCATGCTTTTGTTACATGCTTTTTTGCACAACATAAAAGATTCTCTATTTCATGTGTTCTGTGGAAATCTCTTCATCCTTCAAAGCAGTGTTACTTAGCCTATGATGTAATTGCCTGTATGAGCTTGCTTTTGGACTGTTAGGCTAATGATTGTTTTTGTTGGCAGGGTTATAGTGTTTGTACATTTACTGCATGACACTAGTTGATAATGAAGTAAATAACTGAAAGATTTTACCATTTTTTTTTTCTCTCCACTCTTTCTTTTAGGTTCATTGCTAAACCATGTGCCTTAGGCCTTAAAGTCCAAGCCAATGGACCACAGAAAGCTCAGCCCAATGCTATTCTGGAGAAAGTTTTCACAGCCATTACAAAGGTACTTGCATAAGATACTTACCTTCTAAAATGGGACATAGATTTATTTTGTTCAGACCTATCTGCTAAATACTGTGCTGCATTTCCACAGCTCAAATCAGAATGCATGTATGTCAAGATTGTGGTTGGCATGCTAACCTGGGCAGTTGCACATCGTTCATGATGTCTTCTGTAATATTTTAATCAAAAAAGCTGTTATAGAAACACCTCATAGGTGTCTCATGGCCACTCACTTTTTTTATTCCCTCCTTTAGATATTTCATCAAAATCATTGTTTTGAACAAAGAACAAGTTGTAAGATTGGCCTTGCTATATTTTCTGTGAAGCTTTCAAGCCATGTGAAGGGAAGCTGCTTGAATGCAGGGCACTGGTGGTTTTCTGGCATTCTAGCTTCTTGTATTGTGGTGAATGCCATTGGAAATAGAGATGAAAAGCTGGAAAATGGGCATTTTGACTGAATGGTGTCTTAGAGCTCGCAGGTTTTTCTGCAGAAAATGACAATTTTTCCCTGCTGCCTGTGTCTCAGTCTCTTCAAGTTTCACTTTTTGAGACCATAAACTAAACCTTTACAGTTTCATCCTGACAGGACTTGTGAGGCAGCTGGTGCTTCCCCATAGCACTGAGCAGGGAGAGTAGGACAATGATCATGGGTCCTTCTGCTGCTCTTAAAGATCTCAGCAGGCAGCATCTCTGGCACAAAGGCCTGCTGAGGCCTGAATGCTGCAGCCATTGCTCCTTCCCACCTCAAATTCAGGCAGCAGCTGAACACACCACAATAATGGCACATTAGCCTAGACTTGTGGAGGTGTTTTAGAATCACAGAGAGCAAAATTAGTTTCAGGAACAGTGCAATATGCCACAGACGGTGCTCTCTTACATGTCTATCGAGGGCAGCTTTAGTGTTTGCCTTCTGCCCTCTTCCTGGTGATCCTGATCTCCCCCTGACTCGGCTGGAGAAAGAATGAGGATTTTTCTCTCCTTGTGGAATTTGCTAGTCCCATGTAAAGTGTATCTGAAGTCTCTAACTCCTGTGAGTCATGTCATGAGTTAGCCCCAACCACAGCAAGGAGGGGAATGGGGAGAACTCCAAGAGAAAGTAGACACTTTCTTGCTGGAGTTATCTGCACTGTTTGGTATGCATTCCCAAAAGAAACTGGCCAGTTTAGCTAGCGACTGTATTTTGAGTCATATGCAACAATTTTGTCTAAGTTAAGCTCCCATTAGCTACACCAGTTATTTATCTAAAGTCAATGAGGGTGACTTTTCTTCATTTTTCTTTGAAAAACAAATGACTACTTTGATAAACTAAAAGTCTTTTCATGGAAAGAAAAGGGAAATACTTTCCCCTTTTTCTATCTGATGATTTTCCCTTCCTTTCCTGTCTTCTTCCCTGGAGACTGATATATTGTGCTTCAGCCTGAAGAAGATTTTTACTGTAAAATTATTATTCCATAGACACTTAGGAGGTTATAAAAAGAAAACTTAGAGCAATGTCTTTATTGTGGCAACTATCTCAGTCACTAAATCTAACTGGTTTACAGAAATCAAGCTAAACCTCCAGAAAATGGGTCCAAGCCAAGGATGTTTTCTGTTTCTTTGAAAAATGCAAGGGGTATAAATAGCTAAATAATGGTCGTGCAATATTGTATATGCAGAACTACTGTGTGATTGGAAACGTGTCCTGTACCACTCTTCTCTGTCCAGTGCTCAAACTAAGGCTTTTACTATAGCTCTGCAATAATTTGCAGAGTACTGCTGCTCTCAGGGAATGAGAGTTCCACATTCACTGCTCTTGAGAATAATTCTGTGTAGCTAATTTTACAGGAAAAAAAGAAAGTCAGTCTTTCTGTTGCCAAGGTGATTTTCCTTTTGAAGTTGTCACTTTGTTTAATAACCTCATCCTGTAACATTAACATGCAGAAACATGGGATATATCATCTTCTTTCCGTGTCAGTCAAACAATCTTCACTACTGTATCTGTCAATAGGACAAAAATACCTACGCAGGAGGATGGAACAGAAAGCACCCGTGTGGGGAGGTTGTAAGCCCTATCGCTTGAGATATGTATAGCATTTAATCCCTACTTGTCACTACTTTTCAAGTTTCATGCAAATTTTGTTATTTGTTATGCCATGTAAGTGTCTTATTAGCATTAGCTTGTCATACAGTATTGCAACTTATGTACTCCTTATATGTTAATAGTAATCACTCTATACATATTTCGATATGGGTTATTCAGCAGTTTTCTGTGAAAACCACTTTATTTCTTTGTAACTGTGTCTGACAGGCAACTGTAGAGTTGTAGCAAACCTTTACTGTGGTTCTAAACTTAAAGTGGACTTGCTTTAACTGGAGAAATAAAGAATTTTTGTCGTTCTTTGTTCTGTAGCATCCAGATGAGAAGAGGCTGGAAGGTCTCTCCAAGCAGCTGGACTGGGATGTACGCAGTATTCAGCGCTGGTTTCGGCAAAGACGCAACCAGGAAAAGCCCAGTACCCTTACGAAGTTCTGTGAGAGCATGTAAGGATTTGCATTCTTTTTTTGAGTGGTTTTAGCCCTGTGTCCTCATCAGTTTTTCCCTTTGTTCCTAACAGGTATTTTTGTGTTTTGATTTAAAAAAAAAAGGTAGAAACTGGTAGAAAAACATTTTTAATCCTTTTATCCTGAAGAATTCAAAATGTAATTTCATGTGCTTTCAATGATGAAAAACTTCTAGAAATCAAGTGTTTGTGATCCTAATGAGGGTACAAGCTTGATACTTTGAGGAAAAATAACCTGAAATAACAGTGGGAAACTATCTATACATCATAATTTTCAACTGTACAATTTAAGAGACATCTGAAATGGAAGAGCAAAGATAAAAGCCAGCTGGGTCAGTTATTAAATCTCTTCTCTATTTTTCTCCTAGGTTTGTTCCTTTTAATAGCTCTTTTCCTTGGTTGCACTTTATTCTGAGAAGCTAAAACACTTGCACTTTCTTTAGAAAGTTATTTTTCACCTGCTATGATTAACTTCCACGAAATCTTTCTCTGCACCCAGATGATTTTAAAACTTCATATTTACATGTATACTTTTTCTAGTTAAGCTCTATATGAATTACATTCACATGCCAACTGGATTAATACATTAATACTTAATTTGCATTGAAGAAGAGCATGGAAAATTTGATCTACTTAATATTTTAACATGTTTTTCTTAAATGGGAATGGGTAGATATCAAGTTCATAGCAAAACAAAAATAGCTTTTTTTTCTTCCCCCTGCTTCTGAAAGATCCATTAAATTAAGAAATTAAGACTCAGCTCTCTAGTATAGCTGTAATGTTGTTCCTTTGCTGTGTCATTTTTTATATTTTTATTGATTCTTAATAATTACTGAATGCTTTCATTAAGAAATTGCAAGTAAAGAAATCCCAAAGACAGTGTGGAGCAGCAGATACATATTTTATGATATACTGTTGCATCATTCATACAGATTTTCTGAGTATGTTTCATACTTGCTCTTTGTATAGGCCCCCTAAGTACTTCCTTAAATGTTATGGTCCTGTAGAGCCATACAGAATGGCCAATAATCTAATGTGGAGTAAATAATATATTTAGGCAGTTTTTCTAAGCCAAGCTACAGAAAAAACATTATTCCAGTAGCAATTGATATTTATATTCAACTAAGGACTGAATAGGGGCATAATTAGCAGTGTTACAGCTAAGCATATTGTTCTTTTGGCACGGAGAATTAGAGTATGCTTTTTATATTAAAGCCAGATAAATTGTCTAAATGTAATTGTCCTTCAATAAAGAGAGAAACTTGATTTCAGCACTCTTAATTCCTTTCCTTGGTATTTACAGCTAAAATCAACTCTAATATTTAATAAAGCCAGGGAGGTTTAGATTATGGATAAACCCAGTCTTCCTGTTGTTAGCAGCTGGAGATTTTGGGGCTACTTGCTATTTTGGATATCAGGAAAGAACAACAATTTTAATGAATTCTCTACAATGATGGTGGCTGTTAATGTGTGTGCTTGTCTGCTTAACTTGTCAGAAAGGCTATGGAATCAGGAGAAAGAATCTTGAGTGTTTAAATCTGGCATATTTTGGATGTGTCTCTGCTCTGGATGTCGGGTCAAAGATTTCCTTTCTTACATCAGTTTGCGCTGACCTGAGCTGGACTCTGAACTCCTTCCTGAGCTCCTGAGGGCCGTGCCAATTATGTCCCTTGCCGCGCTTAGCATGGAAAGCTGCGTGCAGAGGCCAGCTGGGGAAAAGCTCATCTCTGCCTGTAGTTCCCTCAGGGAAGATGTGTGTGCTGAGTTTGCCCATTGGAGGCATACATTATGGAAAACCTGGGTGGGTAAGAGCTGTGAACACAGATTAAAAAGTGGGGTCAAGCTGTAACAAATACGTGGTTAATCTATCCTGGCAGATTTAAGTGCTTGCTTCACTCAGAGAGCATCATTGGACATGACTGCAGTGTGTGCTTAGTGGTAATGGTAATGCTGCAGCTCCAAAAAGAAGCGAGGTGACACAGTTAAGTGGCTGTTCAGATCCTCTCTGCTCTTGGTTCTCAGAGATCAGTGGGAACTGCCTCTGAGCTCCGGATGTCCTGGCTGCTGCAGGAACATGTTACTGTGCTGCTGTGTGTGCATTGAGTCAAAGCCACCCTGCAGTGCAGCGTTTGCCACCAGCCATCCCTGGCATGAATTTTGGATACAGCTGCTGACAGTTGAAATGGCACTGGAAAGTCAGGGATATCCTCCCTGTGCCTGTTAAAGGGTTATCTAGTTAAGTTCATGTTCATCTACTTTGGAGCACTAAGTGCAGTGCTTCAGTTCAGTATTTTTGGAATAAAAACAATGCAACAGAACCCAGAGCAAACATGGAACTGCATAAAAAAGTCCCAAATTAAAAAAAAAACAAACAATTCATTTTACTTCCAGCAAAGTGTTCCTGAGGTCCAGAATGTTTTCCATGATGCCGAAGAGAAGGTGGCTCTTCAGGAAGGGATGTAAACTAGTTAAAGTCGTCATGTTTTTCTTACCAAATGGATAGTTAGGTTATCATATAAGGTAGATGAGTTTCAATAAGATAAAAGCTGAGAGTGAACCTCAGCAACTAGTTTACTTGATTGGGATGAATGACACCCAGGATCTAGGTTCAAACAAACCACGATATTGACGTAATCACTGTAGTCCTCTCGTCACAGATTTCTCTGCTCTTTCCTTAGTCTTCTCTTAAACAGAATGAAAAGAAACTTTTTTTTCCCCCCAAATGGAATAATTCCTTTCCTGCCAAACTTCATCAGATGCCTGGGGATTAGCAGGTGGTGATTGCATGGATAAAAACAAAATAGTGATAAAACTCTCTTGTCTGTAGACACTGCCAGTAAAACAGGCTTTTGGTGGAAAAATGTTTTTTTGGAGACCTTAACCAATAATCACCCAAGAAAGCTTTTTTTCCACCTGATAATCAGAGTTTGGTAGCCGTTAATAGGGAGATCATTAATAGTGAGACTTCATTGGTATCATGTACCAGCCTAATGTTTCAGATGCTGTGCTAGTATCTATACCAAACATGAAAGAGATGATATCAAGTATTGACTCATGATCTAGTGTTATTAAAAAAGACAATAAATAGGATGTCGGGGGCTTTTTTTTGGTTTTAAACTGGCAAGTAGATGTATTGTTTCTTAATAATTATTTTGGCTACAAAGTTGGCTTTAGCGACAAGATTTTTTTTGTCCACGCTAGGAAGAGCATCAACCCAATATAGTCTCAGAATCTAATGCTAAGGTATACGTAGACGCTTGCCTTGGCTGCTAAAAGGGCGAGTTTGTGCATAACTTCTCTTCTGCCTTTTTCTTTCACTGTGGAAATTTTGGCGGTTATGGTATTTTCCTCATGTGGCAGATTGTGCATCCATAAAGGAGAAGAGAAAGAGGTAAATTGTATTTTGTACTGCCATGTATTTCTGCTTTTATTTCTTTCCTCTCTATCCCCATGGCCTGACCTGGAGGAAGGACATTCTTTCCCCTTAATAAGGGTAGAGTAAAGATGTTGTGCTCTGCTTCTTAAGTATGAAGCATGTGAGAAAACACAGAAAGGGCATTACCTTGGATCTTTGTGGAAGCTGCCATTGTTTCTGTGTTACTCATGGAGAGCACCTGCAGTGCTATATAAGCATAAATATTGTTTCCACGGAGGTCTTATCAATCCATTTATAGACAGGTGACATTTATCGGACCAAATGTTCTAGAACTCTCTCCCAGTACAGGCCTTTGAGCAGAAATGCATTTTAAAAAATCAGTGTCTGGAGATTAATTTGAAACCAATGAACTGTCCCCAAAAATGTTTCAGGGAGGTATATTGCCTATGAAAATGGTGGAATGGAAAATCTGGACGTGAAATAAACTAGGAAAGAAACTGAAAGTGAGAATACGAAGAAGATCCCAATCTTGACCTGAAATGACTTCGGGAGAACAGTGACATTTCCCATTGCCAGGTAGATATTAGGACCCAAGAATTTGTTGGTTAATGTATTTAAGCCCAGTAGTCTATGCTTCACAAGTACTGATTTGCTGCTGGACTGGGCTCCCATCTGTGGTGATACTGCTCCTTTCTGCCAAAAGGGAATGAGGATGCTATCAAAAGGATAATTTATTCCAGGGTCTGCTCCAGACAGGTGATAGAGATACAGAGTGGCTTTTCAAGCCAGGACAGTCTTATTTGAGCATGGCTAGTGCTGCCACATTTTGTCCTAAGGCAAGCAACAGATGCTTGGTGTCAGGCTATAAAAATGCCATTCTGGCAACTAGCAGTACAGCCCTCTCCATTTTTGAGAAACATTAATGTTTCCTGGAGCGGGTAAAAAGGAGGGTAAGGTAACAGAAGATCCTGTGTTTTGGAGCTATGAGCAAGTTTCCAATGGATATAAAGGAGAGCCTAGGCACAAGCTAGCCAGGATTTTGGCCCTGAGCACTGTGGATATGAACAAATCCAAATTAGTCGGTCTCTTGCAATCGTAAATTTTACAAAATGTTTGGGAGAGGATCAACATGGCAAATGCTGCAGATTTAAGGTAGTGTAAGGCAGGGAGCAATGACAAAGGAAGTTAGTCAGTCAGAGCAGCCTTTGACAGGAATAGAACTGGCCTGGTCAGGCCTGTGGAGTGAGGCTGTCTGCTGAACTCCCCAGTGCAGTGTTGTGGTGAGCAGACTGAACTCTTCCACTGCTAGTTTTAACTAAAAGAATAACATGAAAAATATAGTGAGGATGGTATAGGAGAAGGAAAAGAATGGAGATGGTCAAGTTGGCACAAGGGATGAAGGAATCTTCATATAAGGAACCTAGAGGAAGGAGAACAGCAGAAATTGCCTATCTCATAGTGCAAGAATCAGGAGATATTCAATGAAAATACATATATTCAAATCTGAATATTCAAAATAGTTTTTTATACCATAATTAGGGTATATAATATATACCACTTATTATACCAATGGTATAATTATGGTATATCTTATACTAATATAT